TGTCTTCTTAGCATCAAACAACACATTTACAAAGGAGGCAAGTTTCAATGGTGTTATAACAGTATCATAAATGATCCGGTTCACGTCTAACGACAAGCCTTGTGTTGCAGGTGACAAAGCATGAATCAGAAGATGAGGAAGAGTGGAAGAAATGGAATTGGAGATCAGATGGAGATCTAATGCTAATGGAGCTTTCTTTACACCTTCTGGAGAAGAATCTCCAGCAAGCTACATGAAAGCTTCAAGCATGGTGGCTAGACCAGTCATTTTGACCAAATACTCTCCATCTGCAGGGGCCATGAATTGCCAGAAAGGCCACCATTGCTAATCAAAATTGATTGCTGCCCAGCTACTCAAAAGTCTTTTAGTGAATTTAAGGCTTCTCTCTCAACTGTATATTCAACTGTGTAAGTAATTCAATGCATTTTCTGATAATTTTTATTTTAATTTGGACCATTTATTCATTAAAAACCTATAAATTCGAAATCTAACGTAATCAAATGTTTGTAACGTTCTCAATGTCTTAATCTTATTAAAATAGGATGAATGTAATATAATAAATAAATGTTTATAATTCAATAAAAATTCATACTACGCTATAGATTCATAAAAGAATCAAAACCCTAACCAAAAATTATGAGTACAATGTGGAAATACAAAGTTTTAAAATGCCAGGCGGCTGCAATTGCCAACCCAATTAAAATGACCCGAACCTCAAATATTGACACGGCACCCGATTCATGCTAATGGGACCCCCGCCGATTCCGGTGCAGAACTCCTGGTGTTGGAACCGGTGGGCTACTGCTAGAGGGGAACACGGTGGAGCGTTTGCGGAGGTGCTGAACTCGCGGAATTGTCCGGTGCCGGAGACAACAAGGACCCTCCACTGTTGGCGGAGCCCCGACTGGAGTAGTGCAGGGGTAGCAACTGGCGTTGCCGCCGGAGGGGAAGGAGGACTTGCGGGGGATTGTGCAGGGGGAGTGACGGTTGGTGGGGGGGTTGCCGGTGGCGGTGTGAACCGGGGCACCGCTGGTGACTTCACAGGAGAGCCACCGGAGAAACTTTTGGAGGGGATGAAACCGGGGACTGTGTAGGCGATACATGGGGACTTGCCGACGGAGGAGTTGCTGGGGATTTGGCCGGAGAAGGCGGTGGCTGTGTCGTGACGGTGCGGGAGACGGGGCGGGCGCATTATCTGCCTGTACATTGCCGGAATCCGACAAAAAAAAGACAAAAAACAAAGCACAACAAGTTTAAACATCTTAAATTGCCTGAATCTGAAGTGGGTTTTGCTTAGATTTGTGTTTTGTGATGACGAGAAGAAACAGAGCGAGACACAGAGATTTTTATAAACAGTTATTGAAAAGCAAAACGTTGTGAATTGTGAACTGGGGAATGTGACCGTTGGATGTGTAGCGTAGTTGACCTGCATAGCGGTGAGTAGCCGTACTTGGAAGTACAGACAGCACGGGACAGTTCTTTTGTCCGTTTGGATGAAAAATGCGAGGGTCAGAATCTTGGGGATATAAATTTAATCTAAGGTCTTCTTCGTTCTCGAAGTCAAGATCAAACCCAAATTGTCACATATAAATTCCAAAACATCGGTAACGCATTAATGAGATGATTATGATTGATGTAAACTTCTTCATTTGTGGGGCAGAAATGAAATTTCTAAGATGTGGGTATGAATGAACTTGAGTGGCACTTCCCTCTATCACAATTCTCAAATCTCTCTTCTTCTTCCTCATTCATCAATGAAGTTATGATAGTGAAATGTCAAAAAATCAATTCACCAACATAACAAATTCCCTAAAATCGCCATTAAAATATGCATAGATCCAAAAAAAAATATTGTGCTAAGTTCATTCATTTCTATTCGCCCTTTCTCTAAGAGGGAGTGGGACAGAGAAAACAAAGACCCTCACATGCTCCAGCTTGTGATTTCTGATAAAATTAAATAAAACTTGTACGAGCCTCAAAGATGTTTATAGGATCCATGAGATAAAATAAGAAGTGGGGTATTTGACAGACTTGAGCTTGACGACACCTTAATTAAAGCCTCGAGAGTTGGAACTTGTTTTGACCGTCGGCACATATACAGAGTCATCCTTACCTGTAAAATCTGAAACAATCTGTTTAATAAGCAACAAAAACCACATAGGTTTCACATAAATGGCAGTATCATTGGCGCCATCATGTTCACTTCACTTTGGCTAGTTTTTTCTATTTTCCTTTTCTAATCTTTTTAAGTCCTTAAAATTATCGTCAGATAAATATTTTAGTGACTATTTTTATTAGCAATTGAAAAAAGACTTGAATTTAAGATTTCTTGAGTAATATATCCAAAAACTCTATCAAACCACTAAATCACCCAGAGATAGTTTATTTTTTTCCTTTGCAAAGCCAAGAAACAAGTTCATAAGTTGGCCCACAAATTAAGTTTTCAGCAAACATGGTGACTGAACATTTTTTTGAAGTAAATTTAAGTCCATGGAACAACGTTCAATTAGGGTGTGCAAAAAAATTTGATATTCGATCCAAAAAAACTAGATATCTGAAAATTTAAATCGGATTCGGATCACAATTTTGAAAGATCTGGATTTTCTGATTGGATACCGGAACGGCTTTTAAAAAAAATCGGATATCCGAATCCAAATTTTTTTTTTATATACAGTAGATTGATTTCCCCATGACCCAATTATATAATAAAATAGTTTGATTTTTCCAAGGCCGAATTTCATTTGGTTCATTATTTGATGATTTTTAAAATAGTATTTTGAAAAAAAAATGTAAAATTGGATTAGTTTTACGAAAAATATAATTATTAATGTTTTATGAGATGAATAAAGTAAAATAAGATTTTAAAAATATTGAAATAAATGTATTTTTGAATTTTCATGATATAATATTGAACCAAATGAAACCATAATAGAATGGATTGATTTAAGCCCAATTATATAATAAAAATCTGTATAAAAGATTAATAACTAATAATATTAAATATTAATGAAAATTAAAAATTAAATTTATAAAATATATAAACCCTTCCACCATTTTTTCTTCCCACCGCCTCCTCCCCTAAACAACTCGTACGACCACTTGCTCCTAATAGCTTCACCTTTCAAAGCTGTCGTTGCCATTTCAACAAAGGTCATGACTGTGCAGCCTTGAGACATCTCCCAAGGATGAGATTACAGACACTTCTAATTTGCAAAAAACCAAAGATGAAAATCAACCAAGCTTGTGACATGAGCATTATGATGTCATTCAAGTTTCTCTGTAGAAGATATCTGTTAATCGAGCAATTCGAATGAGTGTTTCTCAAAATAGCAAAGTCATTTGATGTTTGTGTTCTTTATAGATGGATTTGATATAGATGCAGGTTTCTTGATTTTAGTTTGGTATTTTTTTAGTGATTATTAGTATTATTTTTTTTTTGGTTGAAGATGGTAATGGCGATGGCGCTGGTGATGGTGGTGTTGATCAACAATGGTGATGATGATGGTCATGGTAATTGTGTGGGTATATGACTGCTGATATCAGAGTAGGCTAGAGACAAAGTGAGGGCTTGTTGAGTAGGGAGAAGGCCATTAACATCCTTCAGCCTTTGTTAGCTCAGAACTGCATGTCAAATTCGGATCAAAACCAGATATCCGCTTGATCTAATCCAAATTTTTGGATCAAATCAAAACCAGATCAGTCAGAAACCGGATCGAATTTGGATCAATTTTTATCTCGATCCGGAAATTCGAATCGGATCAAAAAATTGGCAAACCGGATCAGATATCCGGTTTTGCACACCCTAATTCAATGCAAGATCCAACTTCACAATTTCAAATTCAAAAGTTTTAAACATGAAGAGTATGTAGTATACTATCTATAAGTGTAGCGAACTGCATATCAGAACAACAAATGCTCCCTTCAATCTGAAGAACACTTTAGACTATATAGAGAGGAAATGGTTTCGAAGAATCGACTAAATATATCGTGAGAAGGCGATCTAAAGTTCTGAATTGTGGGTAAAAATTCTTATGATCTAATCCTGGTCACACCAGGATGACAGGGTTCTGGGGACTACGACTAAGGGTCTCCCAATCAGTTGAGTCACTAGAGCAAGGTCTTTCCTTTAACACAGGGTAAAAATTTTCCAGACGAAGAGTCATGACATTTGCAGAAGTTTGAAAATTTTCAACAGAGCTATGGTAATTCTGGTATCAACTAGTCCATCTCCAATGCTAAACAGTATCATCAAATATTCGTACCGAGGTAAAATGAAGAACAAGATGAACAATATGATATCATCCAGTGCACTAAACTTTAGACACTTCCAATCTAATGCAATTAGACAAAAGCCTGCTTGGTTCCATGCATCGCAACAAACAATCGGTGAAACATTACTTTTACTTATATAACTGCTAAACTTTTTCCATGCTTCAAATTGGATGTCAAATAATAATACCACTAATGAGATTCTGAGAAAAGCAGCTTAGTTATGTGGATTATATTCATAACAGAACAATGAAGCCATAATTAAACTAGTTTGCCTCTTCAAGCAATTAGCATCATCAAAAGCGCGGAACCATGAGATTTTCCATATTGCCAAGCAAATAAATTCGACAACATACATCAAACATGAACATGACCGATCAGTAGAAAGATACATCATTTCCTAACTTCACAACATCTTTGAAAGAAACTAACAATCAGAAACCAACCAGAAAATAAAACACAAAACGACAGCTGAAAGCGTATTGTGTTATACAAAGCTAAATCCTTTAACATTTCCATCAAACAGTAAGTTTACAAACTGATTACAAATTCAATAACAAGAACCAAATGAATTCGACAAACATAACTGCGGAACCATGACATTTGCATTATGGCCAAACCACTGAGTTTTTCACAACATAGGCAAAACCATTTCCAAATTTCCCAACAACTCTCACAGAAAACAACAATCTTAAACCAACTAACAAAGTTCATCAATCTCAATGTATAAGTAAAACATAAACAACAGCTGAAAAAGCATTTTATTATATAAAGCTAAATCCTTTAACACTTCCATCAAACAATGAGTTTACAACTGATTACAAATTTAATAAGAAGAAACAAAATAAATTTGACAGCATAATTGCTGAACCATGGCCTTTTCCGCATTGCCTAGCCACTAAATTTGACAACACCACAACACCATTTCCCAATTTCCCATCAGTTCTCAAAGAAACTAACAATCATAAACCAACTAAAACTTTTAAAAAGAAAAAAAAAAAAAAAAAGGGCTGAAACAGCATCGTATTGTATAAAGCTAAAATCTTTAACACTTCCATCAAACAGTAAGTTACAAATGATTACAAAGTCAGGCATTCAAAGAACCTGTCTATCAGCTGCTTCAGCAACAATGGGCAATCTGGGCACTTGACCTAACAAACAGGAAGAAGAGCCATAAATCAAACAAACCAAAAGGAACAAAAACACAGTACTATCCAAACTCATCATCAAATCCAACCCAAACCCATCTTTAACATTAAAAGTTCTCTCCAAAAGGTCAGGAAAAATCAACAAAACATCAAGCACAATAGCCTGCATAGTATTAAACCTAACATATCTACTAAAATTATTGTTCCTAACAACAACAAAGTACAAAGTCAAAAAGATCAAAAACCCATTAAAGGGGAAGCTTTTGAAGACTTTAATAGCTGGTACAAGTGGTTGTACAAGAACTTGAATGGGAGTAAATTGGGTTAAAACATATTTCCCATATTGAATGCCATCAAAAAAAGGGTAAAAGTAACAAACGGCTGAGATTAAGCGGTCTTGATAGTCAGCTGAGTTATTGTTATTGTTGTTTTCGGATTTGGCAACTATAGTGAAGCTAGTTCTTCTGGGTTTGGTTACTTTCGTTTGGTGGTTCAGTTTGTAGGTTAGTTTGTTAGTTAAACTGAAAAGGGGTGGTGGTGGAGAGAGGAAAAGATTGGATATGGCCATGTTTAGTTAAAGGAGAGAGAGAAAGAGAGAGAGAGAGAGTGAAGAAGAATAGAAGGTAAAATTTGTGGAAGAAAATATCAACAGAGAAACTTCTTTTTATGGATGGGTATATAGAGAATATCTTGTTTTAGGTAAATAAAAATAAGAATTTGGTATTTGTTGGTGCGGGGTTTTGACACCAAACGCACGTGTGAAATACTAAACTAGTTCAGAAGACACACGCAAATGGGGATAGTGAAATGAATAATGGGTGAAGAAACAATGTTTTAAAGTGGTTTGGACTTTGGATGCTTAAGCAAGCAACTCCTACATCCACTGATATTATATTAATATGGAGGGTCAGGTCGCGTTCAGCGAGCTGACTTGCGAGTGATTACAGAAGAGAGAATAAACTATTACAGAGAGAATTTTAGCAATTACAGAGTAAAAATGAGCCAATCCCACAAACGGGAGAGAAACTCTCTATTTATAGTGGGATGTATTGGAGTAATGATTACAGAATCCGTAAAAAGGGGGTAGATACCGTGCAAATCCTTCTTTGCGTTCCGTTACTCACCCACTCGAGTGATTTTCTCGTTTAGTACAAGGGTTGGACACGTGGACGGCCTCCAGCCTTTCGTCAATGTGGCGCGCACCCATTACAGTGGCAGGAGCATACTGCTCATGCCAGCATGCGACGTGGCAACGTCTGAACGACTATAGGAAATGCCTAGACTCTGATCATTTATGCTGATCTGGCCTTTTCCGGCCAGATCAGCCACGGATCTGGCTGGAAAAGGCCAGATCGCCACGTTACGACACAGATCCAACTGGTCTATGTCGTAATCCAATTTCCCTGCCAGTTTCCGACGGTGTTGGTCGGAATCTGGCACTGCAGGTGGTGGGGGTGTTTTTGTCATTTAACAAACTTTTTATATATAGGGGTGTTTAGTTAAATTAGCAAACCTAGGGGGTTTTTAGAAATTTTTAAATTTATAAAAATCGAAAATATCAAACTTTTAAAGGCATTTTAGTCTTTTCACTATGAATAAACAGAAATTACTAACAGTATATGACGGAAGATGCCTGTTTGTCATTTCAAAACCTTTTCTTTTAGGTATTAACTTGTCGTTTTGGTAAACCTTGGGTATGCATAAGACGTTCGGCCTAAGATCTATAGTGATATGTTTATTAAGTAATTGGTCCATGGCATGTCCCGAATTATTAAAATCCCAATAGCTGTATTAACTCTCGAGTAATGCTACAGTTACCGACGGGTGTGCACCGAATGACGTGGCACAATCTTGACCGTTTATTTATTATCAGTTAATATTAATCAACGGTCAAGATTTTGCCACGTAATTTGATGCACAAATTCGGTGTAAACTTTTCGGTAACTCTATCATTTTCCTTAACTCTCTAGTTTACTGTACCCTCTTTCTTAAACCCTATTTCATTTCGATTCACAATTAAATCACTTTTCACACCCCACAAAGTAGTTACTGGCTTTATTAATATCACCACTGCATTTCAATGTCGAAAGCTTTTTTGAAAAAAAAAAAAAAATCACAATTACGTTTTACGTCTATTCGGCAAGCTCAAAATTTGAACTTTTTCATTTTATAAACCTCATTCATCACATTTTTAATATTAAAATGTTTTTTAATAGCTTTCATAAGATCTACTCTAATACGTAGTTATTAGTATCTTACGGTATGGTTCAATACAGGTCGCTAACGATACGTATCAGAAAGTGTATTATAAATATTTCGATACGTTAATATGTATCCTACGATATGATATTTATCGGTTCGTATCTTTAAAAATATCGATACAAATTGATACGATTTTATTAATTTTGGCTTAAGGCCCAAAATTTTTTTTTGGTCGGATCTGGGTCACCCAACCCGATTCACTAAAACTCAATCAAATTTATTTATTTTGCATGATGAAAGTGAAGAGGAAGATGTGTTACCCATTTTGTTTGATAATAATAATACAAGTGAAGATATAGATATTGACATTGATCTTGAAAATGATATGAATGGTCGAGAGGAAATAATATAGATTCTTAATTTTTGTGATTAATTTTGATTATATAATACTATAATTTAAAACTAATAATATAACAAAATTCGTTAATTAATCTTGGAGATGATATTAATTTTTAGAAAAAATTTGTTATTATTATTATTTTTTTTAAAAAGGCATACCTATGATACGATATACGATACACAATTTGAAAAATTTGGTTTTTGATACACAATATCATATACGATTTGACAACCAGAGTCTAATAAACTCTATTTTAACCATTATTTGATAATTTGATGGTAAAAGAGCAAAAGAATATCTAACATGATTTCTCAAGTTCGAGTCTTCTTGATAGTAAAAGAGTAAGAGAAGGATCTAACATAGTTTCTCGAATTCGAATCCTCGTGACCCTTAATAGGGGTGGTTACTCCCATTATAGGGTTTCGGCCCGGGGGTGGAACGCTATTTTCATGAATTTTACTTGAATAAGTCATATCGGACTGACTCTTCAAATCTTAGTTACAAATTTTATTTGTACCATCTCCAATAACTTTCCTTGGCCAATAAATTAACTTGCGGAAGCACTAAAAAAGGCAGCCGATTTTCACAAGATTATGAACCAACTTTTCGGCCACAGCTTGCTCTTAACCCCACTTCTTTCAATGCACCAAACTAGTTCCAAAACTGGCTAAATTTCAGCGTAAGCTCTTTAACTGTCTTCATTTTTTTTTCCTTTATCCACCACTTCATTTGAAACCCATTTTAACGGTGTTCAACTAACTTATGTCCTCACTAAATTTGCACACAATCTCAATGAAAGTTGATTTTCTTTTTTTTTGCATTGATTCTGCAAATGGTAGACAGTGCTTTCCATTAATGTGGAGAGGATTTGAGATTATTGTACCATCAAAATTCCATCAATCTTTTTTACTAGACCCGTGAAGATAACGGCTGCTTGTTATATAACTCCAAGCCATTGAAGCAACTCCATTGTACCTCAAAATGTCAAGCTCTTCAATCAGCTTCTCCTTCTTCATGTTCTTGAATCTCGTTTTGACATTCTCTGCCGAAGGAGTTGAATGGTAAGTTTTCTGCATTTTGTTTCTTGCAGTGATTTGTTGGTTAAGTAATAACTTTTAAGAGTGTTCAAACAGGGAGGACATGACAGCTAGAAGGCAGCTTGGGGATGAAGCATCTTGCAGAACAGGCAACCCCATTGATGATTGTTGGAGATGTGACCCAAACTGGGAATCTAACAGGAAAATGTTAGCTGATTGTGCACTTGGGTTCGGGCGCAACGCAGTGGGAGGTAGAGACGGGGAAATTTATGTAGTTACTGTTTCAGGAAACGACGATCCTATAAATCCGAATCCGGGTACTCTCCGGTATGCGGCACTCCAAGAAGAGCCTCTTTGGATAATCTTTGATCATGATATGGCGATCAGCTTGAAGGAAGAGCTTGTGATAAACTCATACAAGACCATTGATGGGAGAGGGTTCAATATCCAAATTGCAAATGGACCTTGCTTAGCAATTTACAATGTGAGTAACATAATTGTGCATAACGTTTACATTCATGACTGTATACCAGCTGGGAATGCTCTGGTGAGGGACAAACCAAACCACTACGGATTACGGGGGCGATCCGACGGGGATGGAATCTCGATCACCGGATCCAGAGATGTGTGGATTGATCACTGTACATTAGCTAACTGCAACGATGGACTCATTGATGCTGTGTATGGCTCCACTGCCATTACCATCTCAAACAATTACATGTTTCATCATAATGAAGTGATGCTTATGGGGCACAGTGATGACTTTGTTGATGACAAGAATATGCAGGTCACAATTGCCTTCAACATTTTTGGGGAAGGTTTGGTTCAAAGAATGCCAAGGTAATTAGTCAGTCTCTTCTGCAGACCTTGGTTATTGGTAGTAGTAAACGGTTCAAAACGTTCACACCTAAGAATTTCCGTGATTCTTCTTACATTTTTTGCAAAATTCTTGCAGGTGCAGGCATGGTTATTTTCACATTGTGAACAATATATACAGTGGTTGGGAGATGTATGCAATTGGAGGAAGTGCCAGTCCAACAATTAACAGCCAAGGAAATGTCTTCTTAGCATCAAACAACACATTTACAAAGGAGGCAAGTTTCAATGGTGTTATAACAGTATCATACAATGATCCGGTTCACGTCTAACGACGACTAGCCTTGTTGTTGCAGGTGACAAAGCATGAATCAGAAGATGAGGAAGAGTGGAAGAAATGGAATTGGAGATCAGATGGAGATCTAATGCTCAATGGAGCTTTCTTTACACCTTCTGGAGAAGAATCTCCAGCAAGCTACATGAAAGCTTCAAGCATGGTGGCTAGACCAGCTTCATTTTTGACCAAATACTCTCCATCTGCAGGGGCCATGAATTGCCAGAAAGGCCACCATTGCTAATCAAAATTGATTGCTGCCCAGCTACTCAAAATGTTCTTTTAGTGTAATTTAAGGCTTCTCTCTCAACTTTAATATTCAACATGTGTAAATTTAATTCAATTCATTTTCTGATAATTTTTATTTAAAATTTTGGACCATTTTATTCAATTAAAAACCCTAATAAATCTCGAAATCTAACGGTAATCAAAGATGTTTGTAACGGTTCTCAAGTGTCTTAATCTTATTAAAATTAGGATGAATGTAACATAATAAATAAATGTTTATAATTCAATAAAAATTCATACTACGCTATAGATTCATAAAATGATCAAAACCCTAACCAAAAATTATGAGTACAATGTGGAAATACAAGAGTTTTAAAATGCCAAGGCGGCTGCAATTGCCAACCCACTTGAAATGACCCGAACCTCAAATATTGACCCGGCACCCGACTCATCGCTAATGGGACCCCCAGCCGATTCCGGTGCAGAACTCCCTGGTGTTGGAACCGGTGGGCTACTGCTAGAGGGGAACACGGCTGGAGCGTTTGCCGGAGGTGCTGAACTGGCTGGAATTGTCTCCGGTGCCGGAGAAACAACAGGACCCTCCACTGTTGGCGGAGCCCCGACTGGAGTCAGTGCAGGGGTAGCAACTGGAGTCAGTGTAGGGGTAGCAACTGGAGTTGCCGCCGGAGGGGAAGGAGGACTTGCGGGGGATTGTGCAGGGGAAGTGACGGTTGGTGGGGGAGTTGCCGGTGGCGGTGACACCGGGGCAACCGGTGACTTCACAGGAGAGGCCACCGGAGAAACTTTTGGAGGGGATGAAACCGGGGACTGTGTAGGCGATACATGGGGACTTGCCGACGGAGGAGTTGCTGGGGATTTGGCCGGAGAAGGCGGTGGCTGTGTCGTGACGGTGGCGGGAGACGGGGCAGGCGCATTATCTGCCTGTACATTGCCGGAATCCGACAAAAAAAAGACAAGAAAACAAAGCACAACAAGTTTAAACATCTTAAATTGCCTGAATCTGAAGTGGGTTTTGCTTAGATTTGTGTTTTGTGATAGACGAGAAGAAACAGAGCGAGACAGAGAGATTTTTATAAACAGTTTATTGAAAAAGCAAAACGTTGTGAATTGTGAACTGGGGAAATGTGACCGTTGGATTTGTTGTGTAGTGTGACCTGCTATAGCCGGTGAAGTAGCCGTTACTTGGAAGGACAAGACCAGCCGGGACAGTTTCTTTTGTCCCGTTTGGATGGAATAATGCGAGGGTTAGAATCTTTGGGTTATTAAAATGATTAATGGTTTTTGATTACTGTGTTAAAATAGTAATTTTAAATAAGGTGAGTTATATTTTCGAAATAAAGTAGTATTTTACTAGTATTTCTTTATTCGAGTAGTAAAATTATGTATTTTTAAGCCCAATTTGCTTTTATTTATCATTATTATTACAGTTCCCAATATTGTTTTAATTTTTTAAAACAACCCTGATAATTATTCGTGAATCATGATGATAATTATTAGATAAAGTAATATTAAAACCTATGTATTAATATATTAATTTTGATAGATCACGGTCACCGCAACACTAAAACCTGATGGTTTATTACAAATTTACCCTCGTAGTTTGTCACGGAATCTTTTCCCTATTTTAGGTCAAATGGTCATAGAGTGTTCGCACACCTCAATTAATCCTCAAAGTCTATTGAACATTTTACAAGTCAATGGTCAAGTAAGTCACAAATGTAGTAAGTGATTATTTTGTGGAACTCGAATATAAGATCTATAGATAATTCACCTAAATGACTAAAGTCTTATCATCCGACCACAAGATTAATGGTTAATAGTTACAAATTTTGGCCAAATGGTTGACCGTATCGATAATTCTTGAATATAAAATACTTAGTCATTTAATCAAAACGTCAATTGTTTATTAAAAATGTATTTTTTTACTCTCTGCCATTAATTTTAATTAATAGAATCTTTAATCAAGATATGAACATTCAATCTCAAAATTGAAGAAGGAAGACAATTTTACACTAAACCTCGGAAATTACAATGTAATTAACTCTTAACAAGATGATAAGACTATCTGGTATAAATATTTCTCCTATGGAAAATATATGGTTCTGTTTGATTAGGTTTTTAGAATAGCATTTTTAGAAAATAGGATAAGATTTTAAAAATGTTTTTGGTACTTTTTTAGAAAATATTTTTTGAAAAAGTTTATAAATTGATAAAAACACCCTCACCCACCCAACTATTGTCGATAGTCGGTCACATCGTCGGATGGTGGCCGAAAGCTATCAGAATGGTGCACGACCGGTTGGATTTGGCTGGTCGTGCACCCATCTAGCCTTTTCCAACCATATCTAGTATGGATATGGTTGTCATTAACGGCCAAACGACGACCAAGGTATCTGTCATCGTTTGACCGTAGTTAACTGCTAGATCTTTGGCTGTCGTTTGACCATCAATGACAGCCAAATCTTTGGTCATAAATCTAGTCGTTTTTTGACCAGATCCATGGTGGATTAAGTCGAAAACATACAGATTGGTGCACGATTGGCCAAATCTAATTGGTCTTGTGTCGTTATGGCATTGGCGGCCGACGGTGGCAGTAGTGGCAGTGGCTGCTAATAGGTAATAATGCCTTGGGTGGGTGGAGGTGTTTTTGTTAATTTTAAATTTTTTATTGAGAAAGATAATTGTTAATATTTTTGTTTGAATTGAATTTTGAATATTAAAATAAATATTTATTTTGATAGAATTGGATAAAATAATAGGACAGGATAATAGAAATAGATAGAAATTTGAAGAGTAAAGTGAGGACCTAGAAATTGACGAAATGACTAAGAGTTGGCCACCTAGAGCCTTCTCCAAGGGCTGCGTTAGCGTAGTGGGCAAGAATCTAAAGGCCATGGCCCATAGAACAAATGAGAGAAATTCAGAAATTTGGGTTGGGTTTCACCATTGGCTCAACCATTTCACACTTGTCTTCTCATCATTAGCCCACTAAAATTCGTATTCTATATACCAGCATGACTCTAAGAAACCCATCCATGGATATGTCTAGGGGCTTGAGATAAACTTTTTTTTTTTTTTGAATTTTTCATTTTCATAAAAATTATATTATTAAGTACGGTTTCGTTGGACTTATCTATCGATAATCAAAATACTTTTGAGTGTTTTTGGTTCATTATTTTGGATAGAATTTTAGAGATAGTATTGGATAGTTGGATAGGGTTATGATTACGAGAATAAGATTTGCAGAATATGTATTTGGTTGAGTATTTTGACCTTGATATTTGTGTTGAATATTTGATTAATATTTTTTTTTATAAATGATTTATTAATATAATATTTTGTTTTGTTAAAATAATGTATTATTATATATATAACTTATCAAGTTACATTTTGAGGTGGGTTCACGGTTGTGAAAATGCAGTATAACTTATCAAGTTACATTTTGAGGTGGGTTCATGGCTGTGAAGATATAGTGAAGAAAATAGTGAAGCAATGAGGAGAAGTGAAGAAAAATGAAAACTGTAACAGTAAAAAATGATATTGAGAAAGCTGAGAAAGCTGTGAAGATGCAGTAAAGAATTTAAAATTTTGTCAGAACTGTATTTTAGGGATAGAATTATGTTAAAAATGAACCAAACACTATCCTAATAATTCGGTCCAGAATATGGAAAATAATAATGAACTAAACACAGTGTTTGATATTCTCAGTTTTAACGTTTATATTTGCTGATCCGAAGCTCTATTATATATGTACTAAAACCGAAGAAATTTTCTATACAATTTAGGAGAAATTGAATATCTTTTTTAATTTCTTTCTCGTCGATTAACAATTACTATAAAATTAAAATTTAAACATGTTTTATTTACTTTTAATAATTAAAAAAAATTATAATCATTAAGGAGAAACTAATGTTGGATTCAATTCCTTGTGAATTCATTGTGATTTTAGTTCTTTAAAACACTTAGAAGCCAAGCGTATTGTAGACATCATCAGAACGGTGCGTTTCAGTATCAAAGGGGGTGCGTACAATACCTCATGCTCATGTTTGCAATTAAGATCACGAGATTATAACAACAACACAAAATAATAATAAAAATTAAAAAGAAACTTTAGAAGAAAACAAAATTTCACAAGTTTCCAGATTAGGGTTTCGTTCTCGAAGATGTTCATATCATTTCATTCCATTTTCACTGGTAAGATCTAATAAAGCTCAAATCTTTCCTTCATTTTTGGCATTTCTGTTGTATTTACTTTTTGGAAAACCCACCGCGACATGTTTCTGGTTTCAATTTTTGTCCAAAACTGAGAAAATTATCAAAGATAGAGAGAGAGAGAGATAAATGGAGGAAGGGGATCAGATGGAGCAGTTTCATCGCAACGAAGCGATCTCAGCCGTTGCTGATGATGGGTTTCTTGGAGAAGAGGATGACGATTTTGATGATCTGTATAATGATGTTAATGTCGGTGAAGGGTTTCTTCAAAGTTTGAAACAGAACGAGGACGTTTTGGGGTCTGAAAATGACGGTAATAATAATAACAAGAGTAATAGTAACCGTAATGATGAGGAGAAGAAACTAGATTCAGCGCCTAATATTGTGGGTACTGTTGCGGAGAGTAGTAATAGTAGCTTGCCTAGGGTTTCTGGGGGAAATTTTGGTAATAATAATATTGATAGTAGGCAGAATTTAGGGTTTAGTGGGCCCGGTGGGATGGGTGCGCGAAGTGGTGGAGGAGGTGGGGGTGGAGGTGGAGGTGGGCTTAGGGTTGAATTAGGGCAAAGTAAGGTGATGAGTGAAGTTGAAGAGCAAGTTGTGAGCAATAACAATGTTAATAGTGGCAATAATACTGGAGGTGGTGTCGGCGTTGGTGTTGGTGTTGGTGTTGGTGTTGGTGTTGGTGTTGGTGTTGGTGTTGGTGTTCAAGGGAATATTGTGCAGCAAAATCATGCTGGCGGTGGTGGTGGTATGGGGAATGAGGGTATGATGAGACAAGGAGGTGGGGTAGTTGTTGGTGGTGGTAATGGTCATAACATTGTTGTTGGGAATGCTGGTGGTGGTGGTGGTGTTGGTGGTGGGTTAGGAGGTGGTGGTGGGGGCGGTGGGACAATATTGTTTGTGGGAGATTTGCATTGGTGGACGACTGATGCCGAGTTAGAAGCAGAGTTATCTAAGTATGGGCCGGTGAAGGAGGTGAAGTTTTTTGATGAGAAGGCTAGTGGGAAGTCAAAGGGGTATTGCCAAGTTGAGTTTTATGACCCAGGTGCGGCCACTGCTTGTAAAGAGAATATGAATGGACATGTGTTTAATGGGCGGCCGTGTGTGGTAGCATATGCGTCACCTTTTAGTGTTAAGAAGATGGGGGAGGCTCAAGTTAATAGGAATCAGCAGATGTCACAAGCTAACGTTGGGCAAGGTAGGAGGGGAGCGAATGATGGTGGAGTTAAAGCTGGGGGGAACAATATTGCCACTGGTGGGAATTATCAAGGTGGGGACAATAATAGAGGAGGTTATGGAAGAGGGAATTGGGGAAGAGGTAATATGCAAGGGATGGGAAATAGAGGGCCAGGTGGTCCAATGAGGAATAGGGGCCCTGGTGCAGTGGGTGGAAGAGGTATGATGGGGAATGGTGGAAATGGATTTGGGCAAGGCATTGGTGGGGCCCCTCCTTTGATGCATCCTCAGTCAATGGGATTTGATCCGGGGTTCGGTGCACCTATGGGCAGGATGGGCAGTTATGGGGGTTTTCCCGGTGCTCCAACCCCTCCATTTTCAGGAGTTCTATCTTCCTTCCCACCTGTAGGAGGTATGGGATTGCCTGGTGTAGCTCCTCATCTCAACCCTGCATTTTTTAATGGCCGGATGCCAATGAATGGGATGGGTGGTATGATGCCTGCAAGTGGTGTTGAGGGGCCTAATATGGGAATGTGGTCGGATCCTGCTATGGGAGGATGGGGTGGTGAGGAGCATGGTGGTGGAAGAGCTGGAGAGTCTAGTTATGGTGAGGAAGCTGCTTCCGACCAACAGTATGGTGAGGTGAGTCATGAGAGAGGAGTTTGGCAGAATTCCATGAAGGAAAAAGATCGAGCTTCAGAAAGGGATTGGTCTGGTTCCTCTGAGAGAAGGTATCGTGATGACAGAGAACCTGGGTATGATAGGGACATGCCTAGAGAAAAAGATATGGGGCATGATCACGACTGGGCTGAGAGAAGGCATCGTGAGGACAGGGATGTTGGTCGAGACAGGGACAGAGACCGTGATAGAGACCGTGAACGTTCGAAAGATCGTGACCGTGATAGGGAGCGAGATCGAGAAAGGGAGCGTGATCGGTATAGGGAGGAAAGAGAAAGATATCCAGATCATCATAGGTACAGGGACCGTGAAACAGAGCATGATGATGAATGGGACAGGGGGCGATCATCAAGGCACAGTAAGTCACGTTTGTCTCAAGAGGATGAACATCGCTCAAGATCAAGGGATGCTGATTATGGGAAGAGACGACGGCTCACGTCCGAATAGCTTAGTTGATGCTTATTATTTCGTGAACGACCTTTTTCTTCAAGAGAAACAAGAAGATAGCCAAACTTTTGATTCCCCGTGCTCATTCAGATTCTATTTAAAGTGGTGTTTTGGGTTCTTAATTGCTGAACGTTCCTTCTCAGTTCATTGCCTGCAATTCTTGAGTGCTTCATTTCACCAGGAGTATGGTTTTACTGTCGCATAAAAGAAGTAAGTTTTTAGTTCAACGACCCAGCTGTTTTGATTCTTTTAACAATCTACTGATCCACTTTATTTTCTGGTAGAAAAAATTTTAATGGAACTTTTCCGAATGCATAATATTTGTCTTGTGTATGCAGTCTATTTTTCATACTTAGATGCTTTCAGTTTGTAAATAACTGGTGCATCATGTGTTTTGCTTTTATCTTTTCTTTACACTGTTAGAAATGTTATGAACTACACAGATGCCTTCCATTCTTTTTGCCAATTTTCTAAACCTGAAATCTAGTGTGGTTCATGTCTATCCAACTGAAATCAGTCATATAGAAACGAAAGATTTTTTTCCACTGTTTAGTTCATCAAACCTGAATCAGTGACATTTTAGGTTAAACAATGAAGAAAAGAGCACAATTTGATTAAACAAATTTTTCGGATCAACAGTTAGACTGGGAGTGCTTGAATAATGAGGCTATAGAAAAAAGCATAATCTTTTACCAAATAAAGCGATTGCATAATTTAGTTGGGCTGCAGTGTATTCTTGGCACAAGGTTTAGATTATTTTTGCCTCGCTTAAAATTTGTTAAGGTGTTTATATAATCTTATTGAGTTTGGTTATGCCATCGCATTAGTTTTTTTCTGAAATTGCCTAATAAGGTGATTTATTAAATAATCAGCAAACAATTGATGTAATCTGTGGTTAATTTTTTGAACCATTACCGAGTTAACTTTGCTCTTTATTATCCAAAGCCTGTTAATGTTTTCCGTTAACTGTGTTATGACCTGGATTACAGCGGTGCTTACTTGTTTCTTTGTTTATTAATAGCTTGAAGGATATATGATCTTGAGAAATGAAGCTGTTCAGCAGTACTGTGTTTCTTTACAGATGAAGAGGACCTCAACCTTGTGTGAGAGAAAGACAATACATGACTTTTACTCATTGTCGACATTGATGTTGAAGACGAACTTTTGCTTTTTAGTTTTTAGCTTCTTTTGCTATTCATGTTTTAGTTTATTGACTTTTGATCGGATCAATGTTGTGGATGATGTGATGATGGCTTGAACTTCTTGTAGTCTGGATGTGGTAGATTACTTCAGAACTTACTGTTTGAATGTAATGTAATAGGATTTAGCACAGAAAATGTTGCTGATGTGCCTGCTCAACTCGGCTAATTGGCTAGTTGTTGTATCATTTTTTTAACCCCTTTTTAGTTTCTGATTATACCACAATGTTGATTATGTGATTTTTTGTGAAGGGGATGTAGGAAATCTGATCACTGAATTAATGCAGTAACTTTAGCCTGAGAATTGTACACTATGATCTTGTATATATTGAAAATCAATTACATGGATTCTTATTGTCTGCATTTGTTTTGTTATCTGAGGCTTTTTTTTTTTTCTTTTACATTCTTGCCGTCTGTGGCTTTTCGAAAATTTCTTTTTTTTTTTTCAATTTCTCTTAGCAGCCAACAGAAGACCTGCATTAATCTGATACTTGGAATTAGATATGGGGCATGGTGTGTTTCTAAAGCAAAATCTAGAAATAAACAGTTTATTTTGGCTTTTTTTTTTTCCTTGTATGGTGATAATTTGTGTTTCTTCTACCGAAAAAAAAAAAGCTACTGTTTTTCACTCACTCCTTTGAGAGTACTGCAAAATTCATTGGTTTTCTGGGTACTTGGTCTCTTGTGCAAAATTTAAGTACATTTTCTAGCTCTACTTCCATCAAACTTGTATTCCAACTGATTTTCTTCCACTTAACTGTACATATTTTTTAAAAATGGTGAGGCTTGGCCATTTGCTGGCTCTGGTATTTGTGATCTCTGTGGCTACAGCTGAAGTTGCTGAACTCTTAACCTTCTGATTTAAGGATGCCGTCTTTGTCTCTTGAAACTCCTCTTCGTGTGTGAATTTGTCAACACTTGTATTGAAAGAAAGTCTTACGTTGGATGAGCGTCTTTGCTTACGACACATATGCATTTATTCACTTTGTATTTAGAGAAAGTCTTACGTTAGACGGACGAATTACTCTCATCATGTATGCATTCATTCATTTTGATCATACCAACATAATTATGGAGTTGAAAGAGTTGCTGAATACATCTGTTGATGAAGAAAGAAAAAGGAGAGAATATCTGAATCAAGCGACCAGATACAGTGGCTCTACAGAGAGGACCAACTTCAGTAGTTCACAAAACTTTGAGCCCCATCAATCATGATGCATGATACCATTATTATCACCACTTAAATCATTCAATATAATAAATCAATTTCACTAGTCTATCAAGTTGAACTAAATTACTTCCCAATCTTTCAGAAAAGTTGATATTAACCAGTTAGATTCTGCTGCTGACACATTAAGCAGAGTGTCTAATGCAGAGCCAGCCATTAAAGAGATAATGCATTTGCTGCACTTTCAGAATATTGCTCAAAATCTTGATGGATTTACCATCTGTTTTTGTTGTACTAGGTAAAAGATATTCTTCCAAGTTATCATGCTGTCTCCCATGGCTCCAACTCTCTTTCTTGCTGGTACTAGGAACAAAATATTGGTGCATTACACAGTTTAGGTTGAATTGGCTCTTGACCTTTTTCGCTTTGGTGCATTGAACAAATCTCAGTGCTAATACATTCATATTTCAAACCTTAAAATGTACATTCGATGAATCAAGAGACGTGTATATAACATGTTAACGTATATGAAAGATGGAACTTAAAGATTAGCCCAGCATCCCACCATTGAATAAGGAGGACTCGAATCTAAAACCATACACCTTCACCACATTTCAACGCTCGTTGTACTATTTGAGCTACCTGAAAGTAGTCAACTTAAAGATACATTGCAGTCACGCGATTCAATTCAAAGGCATATTTAGTTATTTACTTATGTCAATGCACACAGCCACACACAATCATGAGCAACAAGATTACAAATTACAATCCACGAAAATTAAGCTAAGCTAAGCTAAGCACACCTATTTTTAAGATATAATCTCAGCCGTCCATCACTGATATGATCAAACTAACCACAACCGTACACGAGTCTGTGAACATATAATGGATTGTTATTGTTACTATTACTACTATTACAGTATTACTACCTGGGTCTACTTAAATTAGGCCCGCCCTTACCAATCCCACTACCACCCAAAGCCATATGATGAAACCCACTAGAACCGTACACGTGGCCTTGATGAAGCTGATGACCTCCATGCCCCACCATCACCATCCCATACTCACCCATCCCACCACCACCACCACCACCACCACCACCACTACCAACACCGCCACTACCCAGAGGCACGTCCTTGTCACGCGCCACCTTCTCCCCTTCTATTTCTCTGAACCTCTGCAAATAAACTTTGAGTGGGTCCACATAATCTTCGAAGCCCAAAGTGGTCATGGCCCACAAAAGATCATCCCCATTAATCGTCTTCCTCTTCTCTCTCTGGCACTTGTCCGACGCCTCGCCGGTAACGAAGCTTATGAACTCCGACACACATTCTTGTACGGTCTCTTTAGCATCTTTCGATATCTTAGCGTTCGCTGGCAGAGCTTTCTTCATAATCCTGCTCACGTTTGCTATGGGCAAGAACCTGTCTTGTTCTCTCGGAGATAACTCGTAGGTTGAGTTCGCGCCGGCGTTCTGAGACCTGTCTCTTTCGCCTCCTGACTCGTTATCTGAGTCCGCCATTTACGGCGAAATTTTGTGGTTCTGAAGCGCTTGTTTTCGTTAAAGGGTACTCAAATTTTGCTCCTTTTCGATGACCCTCTGGAATGGTGAAGTGTTTTCAGAAACAGCTTTTTAAAACAAAGTGTTTTCAAAAACTGTTTTCCGATATGAAATCAAGAGTTCTTAGTGCATGAAACATGCAAAAACTAGTAAATTTAAGAAAATAATTTTCGAAAAAAATAACTTAAATAGTAAGAATTATGATGAGTTCTGTTCTTTGAGTTTGGCTTAATTAAGTAAAAAACTGCTTAAAAAAAGAAAAAAAGAAGCCATGGATGAATCAACAGAGCTTGAAGCAATGAAACCCAGAAGGCAAAAGCCAAAAAGACTGAAACTTGATCGATTTAAACAGAAAAAAATTAAGTGTCTGAGGAAGATTCTGAAGAACTTCGATAAAGGGTTACTGAATATTGGAGAAATTCAGTTGATGAAGTGGTTTTGAACGTGAAAATTTTCAGAGCTTTTTGAGCGAGAGAGAGAGGAGGAGGAGTCTGGGAGCGAATGGGTTGGGCCCGTTAGATTAATGGGTTAATAACGACTACAGATTGGACAGGTGGCGCATTTTAAACCGTTCTTTGTCGATAAGTGTGTGTTTGTACTGGTGGAGTTTAAACCATCCGATTGGTCCATGTGGTGGATTATCTGGACAATTGATTTCAGTCCCCATAACACGTTGATTTGTACGACTTGGATTTTTCTTTTTTAAATTTATAATTAAATGGGTTTTTTTTTTTTTTTTTAGGAAAGAAATTTTTATTTGTAAATAAGATAATGAATTTGCAAGACAACATTATTATGGTTTAATTAAGAAAATATTTATATACTTACTCATTTTATACAGTTATATAATATTCTCTAATGATTGTGAATAAACATAATTTTATAATAATTGTTTTAAATTTATCAATTCTATATGATTTTATAGATTAATTTTTTTTTTTTTAAAAATTAATCTAATACATCTTTCTACTTATAGAGATGAATGACTTGCCCTATAGGTAACTACACTTAACATTAATTTTGCTTCTTAAAGGACTTATCCACCAACCAATTCATGTCTTTTCTTGTCACCTTCCCTTAAATTGTGGCTATCCATTATGGGTAACGTTACTCCTTTCTCGGGTACTATTATAGGAACCCTCGAGTTCAAAATTGAGTTTGATAAAAAAAAAAAAAAAAAAAAAAATTATGAAAAATACCAACAGATATTTATGAACGGATATTTGACTTATTATTATTATCCATATTTCCAATCCTATTCTCCAAATAATGTTTGACATATTATTTTAGAAATATTATCCTATTTTTTTAATTACTTTTAGACCTCAAAAGGTTATTAATTTCATTAAATACCCCTTGAAAAAAGTTTAAAAATTAACAAAAACACCCCCGTGACCCATACTTGCCAGATTCCAGCAACCACCGTCGATGGTAGCCGAAATCTGCCACAACGGTGAATTACCGATTGGAACTTGACGGTAATTCACCGATCTGGCCTTTTCCAGCCAGATCCACAGTGAATCTGGCCGGAAAATGCTAGATCTGTCCGTCAGCGATGGCCAAAGATATGGCCGTCGACGGCCACGGCAAGCCGTAGATTTGGCCTCTTCTGGCCAGATCTATAGTGGATCTGGTCGGAAAAGGCCATAGCGACGCGTTACGACACAGAATCGGACCGGTCTACGTCGTAACGCGATTTTCAGGCAAAATTCTGATGGTGGTGGTCAGAATCTGGCACTATAGGTGGTGGGGGTATTTTTGTCATTTTACATGTTGGGGGTATTTATTAAATTAGCAAACTTATGAATTTTTATTTTTAAATTTTTAAATTTTATCTCGTAATACTCCCATATTCAATTATCCAATACTATCCTCAAAATCTTATCCAAAATAATAAACCAAACACACCTATAATTGTATTACTTTACCCGATTGATGATAAAGTGACTGTGGTCAACCTCTAAAAGAAGGTTCGAGAATTAATATTTTCAATAATGTTAATACGGTGGAATAACACATGCATGCTTGAACACAGATAGTGAAAGCCTAATAATAATATTATTAATGTAGCAATTACTTTTGAGTCGAGATTAAGAGATGTAGTCAACCGTTGAACTATGATCTAAAAGTTAAAAATAATTACATGAATGTTACTAAAGCTAGACAANTTAATATTTTCAATAATGTTAATACGGTGGAATAACACATGCATGCTTGAACACAGATAGTGAAAGCCTAATAATAATATTATTAATGTAGCAATTACTTTTGAGTCGAGATTAAGAGATGTAGTCAACCGTTGAACTATGATCTAAAAGTTAAAAATAATTACATGAATGTTACTAAAGCTAGACAAAATATGCCTCCACTGAAAAAATGGTTCATCTTACGTATCAATTTGTCATCCTAACAAAATCTTAGGTTACTTAGAGGTCTTGTGTTTAACTCTCATCAAGTGATCATTCGTTGAGGTGTTCAGTAGACTCTGGGGATTAGTTGAGGTGCGTGCAAAACTGGTCTGGACAACCTGACCACGAAAACAAAACTTGTCATCCTAATCTACCTAAGATACTTTAAATTGGACACCTCAAATTAGGCAAAAAGCTCAAGTGGTGATCTAAGATATCATCAGTCAACTTCTAATGTAGGTTTAGCTTTATAATAACCCAATTAGAAATTGATTACAACACAACAATTCAATTTTAAAATCAAGAACCCCCCCTCAGTAAACATTATTATCAGCTAAACCCCATGTGCAATCCACTTAATTCTTGATTAGATGAGTATTAGATGACGAGTACGAGGTCAAATGAGTGCTCCACTTTAAGTAGTGGAGCAATTTTTCTTTATTCTTCTCAAGATCTTGACATTTTCTCCATTGTTTTAACGTTTTGTTTTAATTGTTTTTGCCCCACTTTAGCTTTTAGTTCACATGGGTATTTACCTTGCCATCCCTCAGGTTTTGTAGAAGAAACACTGGGACCCGTAATGTTACCTTTTCGATGATATTTGTTTAACTTTGATCATCACCGACCAATAACTCATTTACATAATCATCCTCGAGGTTTAGTGGATTATTAACATTCGAGAAGACAATGCTACCTTCATAGTTTTAGTAGATTATTTAACTTTGACATGGTTTTTTATAGTGTTACGAGACAATAAAAAAACAAAATATCGTAGAGATACCATTTTCTTCTAGAAATTATTTTCAAAACATGCACTTTCTTTAAGAGGCGAAGCCACAGAAAAAAGGGGTTCTACAATAGTGGATAGTTTGCCAATGCTAACATTAGTTGGGAAAACTCTTGTTGTTGTTTTTGTTGGGCATTCATTTCTAGTTGTTTCATAGTCGAGCGCTACGATTATATTCTTGACCAATAACTCATTTACATAGCCATATTTGAGAGGCGACGGTGTTAGTTTCCAAAACCTAAGGGGTTTGACTGTCTTTCCACTAAACGTTAGGGTGGGAAGAAAATATCTATTGGTTGAAATCTAAATATCTATAAAGTTTGAAGAAACTTTGTGGGGCCAATTGATATAAGATTAATAGTCAAGCAAGAACCCAATCTAAAAAAAAGTTGGAACCTGCTAATAAGTTAAAGCTTTTTAATATGATTCACATGGCATAGTAGTCCAAATGCATAAGCATGAAAAGGACAATGCATTTTTGCATTAAATTGGGGAAAAAATGAAACCATTTCAAATTGGTATGGTGGGTGGGTATCACTCAGTCTCACTGTTTTTAACTTTTCTTTTAAACCAATTTGAGTGGGTCTGGTTGTAAGATTTTTTTTTTTTTTTAATCAATAATACTACACTTATAAAGAAATCTTACAGAGATTTTTATACGAAATGGGGTTACAAACAATAAATGAAAGAATAAAACAAAAAGTCAAACTTATTATATTCACTTTGTATGGAGATATTTGTAAATATAGGGTTACTCTTTTTGTATTAGCATAAAGAAGTGTGGAGAATTAATGCTTCATCTATGCAAACCCAAAAGACACAAGATTGAAAAAAAGAAAAGTTTTAAATAAATAATTTAGTAAAAAATAATGCTAAAATGTTTTGTTATTATTTGTTAATGTATAAATGTTTATTATGTTATAATTTTAGTGGCGTAATTGCAATCAAATAAATTAAGAAGAGGGCTAAAAGGAGAGAATCTTATTAACTCTTTCTCACAATTGTTGTGTATAAAAGGCCGAACGACTTCCACCTACCCAAAGTTTGGCATAGAGACAGATTGATACCCAAAAGGTTTGAAAATAACAAACAAGTACTTTCTGTCATATTCTATTAGGGATTTCTATCTGCTAAAAGACAGTATAGTAATTTCATCTACAGTCACAAAAATTTTAAATTTTAAATATTTTTCTCCGTATCTATTCTCACCCCAAGCCCGTTTGCATAGCCCTCTTGTGTCATCGATCGATTTTTTGACCGAGTTTAATATTTTTTTATGAAGTTCAGTGATAAACAGTGACACTAGCCCTTGCTGGCGTGCGTTGGGAATGGAGATCGATGGGTATTCTAGTCTTTTCACCATTTTTGTCTTTTAGCAGATAAAAATTTCCAACAGAGCATGAAGAAAAGTGGGTGTTTATAATTTCTAAACCTTTTGGGTACCATTTTGTTTATACATCAAACTTTGAGTATGTGTAAGTCATTCTCCTTGTATAAAATAAAGAAAACAAGCTCAATTTATAATCTTCTCTCATCATTGACTTCCCATAAATATCAATTATTCTATGATAAAGTCATAGATCATGTGCCTTCAAGAGGATTCACGGGAATTGCATAAGTCATGTGTCAAAAAGATGGAAGTTCCCCACTTACAACATATTCCAAGCTTTACATTTTTTTTTTTTTAAACTTTACATAATACGTTATAAGTTGCGACTAATTTCGTAAGATTAACGATAAGATAAATCCTATTTAATCATCTCTAATGGCGATGACGAAATAATTCGTAACTAAAAAAACTGTTATGTCGGTATCACCAGCCGTTTTGGAATATAGAGCGTGGATTTGACATTTGAGATGAAAGGTGAAATGTCAGGAATTTTTCCTCCTCTCTCCCAAGTAGGTCAACTGTCACAATGAAGATTTTCACACTGCTATTGGCTATATACAATGCCTTATTTCCATGAAAATGCACGCTCCTTCAATCAGTGAGCGAGTATTGACTTTTGAGTGACTCGTGTTTACTTAATGGGATGGTGAGTGAAAAGATTTTAATAAAG